CACACGTTCACTCTACGGTGTTGTTTACCTTCTGTGATGCGCGAGCTGATGACGTCACGTCATCATCATCACTACTTCACGTCAAGACGAGTTAACTTTTTTTCTTCTCAACTTTGTGTGGAAAATTGCGGGGATTATGCGGCCTTTTGATAAATATGCGGNTGGCTTTCTTGTCCGCAGCAGCAGAAAGCATTTTCGAATGTTTGAATGAATCAAAGTGGGTCGTCACCGTCGATTTTCTCTTATGCTCCAACACACAGTTGCACGGGGTGCAGAATGGTTTCCCCCCACTTTTTGCCCGGTCTTTAGTAGAAATGTTCGTCGGTAAATGAGATGGATTAGATTTTTTAATCTTGGTGTTTTCTCTCTCGTGTGAGCTCCACACGTTCACTCTATACAGTGTTGTTTACATTCTGTGATGCGCGAGCTGATGACATCACGTCAAGACGAGTTAACTTTTTTTTCTTCTCAACTTTGTGTGGAAAAATGCGGGGATTATGCGGCCTTTTAAAAATCTGCGCCGTTTTGCTGATTATGCGGTAAATTCTGCGATCGCAGAATCGCGTTTTTCTGGAGGGTCTGTTATATAAGAAAGGGACTTCCACAAAGCATGTGTGCGTCCTTGCATGTGGTTCAACTCCTTAAAACAGGATCAAGTAGGATTCATGAGTTCCTACTTGATCAAATCCCAGGTTTGATTGTGTATTTCTGATTCTATCTGCTTCCTGCTGTCTTGGTTCTATCCACGTCTGAATGCTTCTTCATTCAGACATGTTGGATATCGATCTTCTGCATACTGACAGCCTCACAATGCCTCTCTTGCTATTTCTCTTTCCCTTTCTCTCTGCAATACTTGTGAATAGGATCTGTATCAGGTTCGTATGACAGGATTTGCTTTTTATACTGCTGGCTGCTTAAAATAAGGACTTTGTAAATGACACAGGAAAAATCCACCCTTTGATAATCTTTAGATGCACTCAAATTGAGCTTTAAGAAGTTCTATATCTCTAGAGGAATGCAACACAGTAGGACCATATTCTGTTCTTTTGTGAGGGACATTTGTGGCGGGTGGATTTTTCCTCCAAATAAATGTAAGTGTTGTGAACGAGTGCAGTGTTGTGAAATTAACAAACACTAAAATATTCCTCTCCATCCTCTTTTTTTGTCAGTAGTATTGATATTTTCATTTTGCAGTTCATATCTTCCTGTTGTTTTCACATTGATTTGAAGCACTTTTAAAGCCGTTGATAAATGACACTACTTTCTTCCCTCTCGCCTGGCGGTCAGTCTGGTGGTGCTGGTTGCTCTCAACATGCTGCTCTTCTACAAACTGTACGCTTTGGAAAGAGCGGCCCATACACTGGAGACATGGCACTCCTACTCTGTTGCTGACAGGTAAACACACCACACCACTTTCTATACCAACATAGACTCCCTGTTGTGCGGTAATTGCTGAGCGTGGCCTCAGCGTGTCCTTGTGGGATTTGAGTTGTGATATATCCCTCAGATATTCCATAGCAGCAGCAGCAGCAACTCCTCTCGTGCCTTTAGAAGATGAAAGCCTAATTATTATTTGATCAATATCAACGATAGATCACATTCAAAAACGGAAATGTGTTACTGTTGTGTCATTTTGTGCCATCCTGCAAGTTATCGGGTTACTTCACTCTCACTTGTTTCAGTGCAGGGGAAATATTTAATAATAAAATGTCTGAAACTGTACAGCAGACAGACTAAGTAACATGTGGGAGGTGGAGCATTTAGCAACTAAAGAGATATTCACGTCAGGAGTTGCTGGACACCAAACAGAGCTGAAGGGAGAGCGAATATTAGACTTTGAGTATTACTAATGCTGCTCTGCTCCTTCTGAATGGGTTGATAAACGTCTGTATTCTAACATTTCCTTCTTACGAACAAAAGTCAAAATATCAGTGTTGAATATACAGTTTGTTTTTATTAGCCCCTAGTGGACAAACTGCTGGTTCAGGTTAAAGACCCATGACTACACTGCTGACTATTTGCTTTCTGAAGTTGTAATGGCGGCTCCTTCTCCCTCCTCTCTGCAGTCCTTTGCCTCAGACAGCTGGGGAGTGGGCTCAGGTTTTGCAGCTTCAGAGGCAGTTCCACCAGGCTCAGCTCAGCAAGTGGCAGCAGATCCTTCAGTCCTCTGTCACGCTTCTTGACCAGGTGTGTGTGTGTGTGTGTGTGTGTGTGTGTGTGTGTGTGTGTGTGTGTGTGTGTGTGTGTGTGTGTTAATTTGACCCGTTGGTAAGTAATTACCTGCCTCACAAACGGCGTGTGCTTTATCGTTACTGCATTATGTAATCCACTAGAGTTTATTTCTGTATCACGTTTTGGGCACATGGGCAATTCAGTGTGCTTAACTAATACAAAAAAGCATCATCCATAGAGAAAGTATGATTTGAAAGACAGTACAAACAGCATATCTCACCCAACCTTTCTCTCACCCCCCTCCATGTTTATCTCCCAGATGAAGCATTCTTTAGAAAAGCTCCACCATGGCATTGTGGTCCCAGAGGTGCAGCAGGATGAAACCATCACAGAGCCAATGACTGAGGCCTGAGCCCCCCCCCCCTGATCTCTGAACACACCCTGGGGGGAGGGTAGACTTTTAAAAAAGAATGCCGCTGGTCGACTTTGATCAGCACAGTTTGCTCTTTTTCACATTTCCAAATCAAATACCAGAAGAGGGAGACGGAGGGGACTACATTACCCACAACTCTCCTCACCTGACTGACTTGAAAGGGCGACGTTCGCCTTCAGCCTCAACCAGTAACATCTTCAATGAACTCTTTCTGACTGGGCGCTTTCAGGACCACAGCAATAACTCACCTACAGCTGCTAGTCACCTGTGCGTAGGGTTTGGAAACGGGCCACTGGTGGGCCCATTCCAAACCATCCACTCCTCAACTATCTCAGTGACATTTCAAAATGGCTAACCTAACCTAATCGCTTCAGAAAAACTTTAATTCAGACCTCCTTAATTTTCAGAACCTCAAAAATGTTCATGACTTTAAAAGACTTCAGTTGGACATGCAACATTTCCCAGGGAACAATGACTCTGGAAAGCGGGAGCTCCTGGTCCTGGGAACAGTTAGTCTCTTTAGTGAACGCCTGCTGAAAACAAGATGGAGGATGGGACAAACACCCAGAAAGAGACGGGAGCAAGGACAGCCTCTAGGTCTTTCCTTCACAGATTTGTTCCTCCGTATCCGGGTCGATCCCCATTTTAAAAGCCGCTGTTCCTCTCAAAGGGGATGAGGAACATTTCAACAGCAGACACTTTAGTTTTCACCGTTTTTAGATGTGAATTACACACCTGAGGTTTAATCTCAAACACCATCCCACTCCTCCCTGTCTTTTTTCGGGGTTTTTAACTTTTTTCAAAATCAGTGTGTTGGGTCGTTTGTTTGGACAGGAAGCTGCGTCTCACTGGACTGTTACAGTATTTATTATTACCGATGACTTGATCTGAAATCCTGTCCTGCTCTTAAGAAGTCATATGGTGGGTATTTTATTTTGTGTTGCTCTGATATGCTGTTGCAGTGCGGACCAAGAGGAGCTACACGAGAATGGTTACTGGTCACAGCAATAATGACAATAGTGATGCTAGTACTTTTTGAATGTTTCAAACAAAGTAGTATATCATAATAATAATAATAATAATAATGATGATGATGATGAATTGTGTGTGAATGTGTGTAGAGGCAGTGAAAAAAACAAGCAGAGAAGAAGACTTGACGGATGTTTGTGTTCATGAGGAGTCCTCAATGTTTCAGATGTTTTCACATTAGTGTTTATTTGAGTTTTTCTTTTTTGAGATTTCTCTGTCATGTTTGGTTGCTCACTCTTTGTATGACAGAGCCAGAGCCTAAGAGCTCAGGGTTTACCGTAGACTTGATCAAAAGACCAGAACAGTCCGCTACTCTGTTGTCCCACTGGGCCGGACGCCTCCAAACAAGAGGACCAACCAGAATCGAGTAGGCCCAGGTGAAGAAAAAGGGAATCTGTTTTGCAGTATTGTTTTTGTGTGTTTGTACATTTAACTCGACTGACTTGTCTCCTCTTTTTATTCAGTTCATTTTCTATCTTTATAATTTTGTCCTTTATTTTCAGCCTGTTGTTTCATCCCACTCCGATCTGTCCTCAGCCCGTGTGAAAACATCCCACTCTTTTGTTGATTTCTTCTTCTCATCACTCACCCCCACTCTTCCTCTCTCTCTCTCTCTCTCTCTCTCCGTTTCTCTCTCTCTCTCTCTCTCTCTCTGTCTCTCTCTCTCTCTCTCTCTCTCTCTCTCTCTCTCTCTCTCTCTCCGTTTCACCCTCTCTCTCTCTCTCTCTCTCTCTCCGTTTCACCCTCTCTCTCTCTCTCTCCGTTTCACCCTCTCTCTCTCTCTCTCTCTCTCTCTCTCTCTCTCTCTCTCTCCCGTTTCACTCTCTCTCTCTCTCTCTCCGTTTCACCCTCTCTCTCTCTCCGTTTCACCCTCTCTCTCTTCCTCTCTCTCTCTCTCCGTTTCACCCTCTCTCTCTCTCTCTCTCTCTCTCTCCGTTTCACCCTCTCTCTCTTCCTCTCTCTCCCTCTCTCCGTTTCACTGAAAATGACGGCAACAGAAGCATGTGGGCCACGCTGTGCATGGCCATCCGCTGATAGCAAAATGGTGTAATATTTATTGA